TTTGACAATTTCTTGGGACATCTCTTGGTTCTAAAAAGAACTTGTATTCTAATCAGCTTGGGAGGAATCACATTTTTTAAAACATTGAAATAAACCTGAAAACATTTTCTGTTAAGAATTTGAACTGTTAGAGCACTCAGAAAAAAGTAAACACCTCTGGGACACTATCACACCTTTTGAAATGCTAGTCATAGAAATCAGCTTGAAATTTTTAATCACATTTAGATGATAAAAGCCTTTTATACAACCTTCTCAAGTAGAGATGTGATTGAAGAGATAAAGATTAGAACAAATATAAGAAACCTTGTAGTCTTAGATCCTTTACCTAAATTTTGATAGAATCTCAGATAACTTTAAAAATAAGAACTGGATATCTTTAAGCAAAATGAGTAATTATTCAGAAAATCTACTCTCATATGTGTATGTTTATGAAAGTGCCTCAAAATTTCATTGGCTTTTTTTTTAGAGGGAATCTCACTCTATAGCCCAGCCTGGCCTAGAACTCATGGCAATCCTTTTGCCTCATCCTCCTGAGTGCTGGAATTACAGGCGTGCACCACCAGGTCCAGCCTTTTGGTCCTTTTTGAGATGAGAGAATGTTTTTTTTTCTGTGAAATCTTTATTTACAGGCAGTTCATGGTACCCAGTAGAAACCTTTTTTGTAGTTATTCATAGCTTGAGTTGTATTGTTGTTTTTTTTTTTGTTTTTTCTCCGGTACCGGGAACCGAACTCACGACCTTGCGCATGCCAGGCAGGCGCTTTGCCGCTGAGCTAAATCCCCAGCCCCTAGCTTGAGTTGTAGAATGCTAGACTTCAGCCATTTTCCAAGAATTTTTCAAAAAGAGCCTAGTCATCAGAGGATTATTGGCTCCCTCAGAAAGGAGCAGCCTGAATTATTGAATTATTTGTAGGAGCTAGAAAATAAGATGAGGCTTCTCTGAGTGCTCTACCCTACTGTTAAACATGGTCTATCTTCTTGGAGTGTTGCTAAAACTTTTTCTCAATAAGAAGTTAAGTAATTTGTCTGGTAAACTAAATGCCTAAAAACATAAGTGAATGTAAATATGACATCCAATGTAAAATACATGGTTTTGAACATAAAATTTAAAATAGTTTCTAACTTGTATGTCTTCATAGATAGAGCTCAGGAAAGGATATGATTAACTTCAGTATGAGTAGTTTGGTTGTCATATTCATATTTTTTCTAGCTCTCTTGAGCTTATTCTGTGTCATCAAGTATTCAGATTATTACTCTTATCTACCTGCTTTGGTTTGCTGTGTTTTCCTGGTATGTACCTATACCTCTGTGTTAGATTTATAGGAGTAATTTCCTTCTTTACTCCTTTTTTTTTTTTGGCATTGAGATAGGATTTCTGTAGAGTTCCATCTCTCCTTATGTTTTAGCTTGAAAATTTATAGGAATTTTGTAAGTGTGAAGAAGTACTGTGCATCCTTTACCCAGTTCCCCCTGCTAATTGCATATTGTAATATCAAAACCAGGAAGGTGGTATAAGTATATAGTTCTGTTATTTCAATTTTGGGTACATTCATGTAATCACCATCATAATCAAGACACAGAAGTATCCCATCACAACAAAGAGCTTTTTACAGTACCCGCCAAAGGAGATACTGAAAGAATCAGAGGAATTTAATTTAGCAAAGAGATTATTATTCACTTTCTTCTAATTTTTGAGGTTTTTATAAAAATGCTAGATCATTTTGTATTTTGAACTGTGCAAGAAAGTTGAAATGTTATCTTTATAATGCAAGAGAACTTGAATATTTATAACTGGTAAAGTCATATGTTAAGGATGTTTTTGAAGTCTTAGTTTCAATTTATCATTAAGAATCTTTATTTTGGAAGATTAGGCTTATACTTGAAGAATGGGACTGAGTGACAACATGTGCTCTTTTCCAGTTCTATAACTAATCTTTATATATGTGCCAGAGTAACTCAGACAAAACTTTTTTTAAAACTTTTTAAAATTTAGAAACATAAATAAAACAAAGCAATAACATTAAAAGTGATACAGGGTTTCAAAACAACATGATAGGAATTAACAGTGGTTGTTATGTTACATGTTGTTATCTTTAGCTACGTTGGTTGCTCAGATTACCAGATGTAAGAATGGAAGATTGTTCAAACCGTTAATGAGAATAAAAGAATAATTATTAGATAAAATATTAGAGATAATACAAAGTTTCACTAGACAAGATGGTAGGAATTGACCAATGGTTATTCCATTGCATATTGTTGTCTTCGAATCAGTTGCTCAGATTACCAGATACAAGCATGCAAAATTGGTCAGAATATAAAAACAAATGTAAGCATTAACTGTTCCTTTCAATATACCATCAGACATCAGCAGTGCATTATCCCTGCTAGTCTTCTCTTTCTTTCTCTCTCTCTCTCTCCTCTCTCTCCCCCCACCCCCATATTTGACCTTCCTTCTTTCTTCTTTCCCTCCTCCCAGTTGTTTCTTCCTTTGAGCAATTTGTTTCCCTTTCATATCATCTAGTGTACCTTTTGAGTTTTACTTACTCTTTCAGGTTCCTACACCAGGGAGACAATATGATGTTTACTCATGTGGGTCTGATTTATTTCACTTATGAGTATGGTCTCTAGTTGCATCCATTTACCTACAAAAACCCAGACAAAACTTTAAAGAGAAGATGAGGAGCAAATAGGAAGAGGAGTCTTGTTGAACAACCCATACAGACTTTTCTCTTCCTGGAACTCAGAGGTGGAGGAGTGTAACATTTACTATTATCTAAAGCACTATTAATGGCATTTTTATTTCTACAACAACCATATCAAAATCACTCATTCTTAGTTTATTTGGCCGATGGTTTTAGAATAATTATTCTATTACTGATGTCTGTTTTTTGAGACCGGGGTTTTGCTGTGTAGTTCAGGCTACCTTGAACTCACTGTTTATCCCAAGCTGACCTTGAACTCATGGCAATCTTCCTGTCTCAGCTTCCCCAAGTACTGGGATTATAGGCATGTGCCACCATGCATGGTTTGGGAAACCCTTCTTGATAGACTTTATCAGAGATATTTTCAGGAAATCATGTTCTGAGATTTACTCTCATCCATTGTCACATGATCAGTATAAATATATTATTAAAATACATATATCTAAGTTCTAATAGCTTACAAGATATTTTCAGTTTCACTTGAAAATTTATGATATTTAACGTGAAATATCTGTTTTCTGCCTGGTTTTCAGCTTACAGAAAAAAAAAAAAAGCTGTCTTCTCTTTGGAGGTTTGGAGGTACTATTGAAAGTTTGACCTGTAGTAGGGCTTCTGCATTAGCCCTTTCCCTTTGTTTGTAAGTTGTCTGACTATAGCAAATACTTCCTCTCACCTCAATTTTTCCTGTTATCTGAATATTCTTCATAATATTGTTATTGTTGTAATATTTAAATATTAGTTCCACGTCACTGTCATCTTCATTATATTTCCTATCCATTCTTGAAGGTTAAGCATAAATATATATGAATAAGTATATAGTTTTCTTCATTTGCTTGGGTAATTTTAGGTGGACCATAGGAAGGGTAAGGCAAGATAGCCTACTCACCTTTTCAAATAGATTCAAAGATTTTGAAGAATATGATCACAATTTTTTTCCTCAAAATTCTTAATTTTAACTAGAATGAAAAATACCTTTATTTTAGTGGTTATTAAATCTTGAATTTTTTGGAGTAAAACTCCCTGGGATTATGTATATAGAGAAAGGGTAACTTATTTGTTACTTTTGGCACAGATAACATGATATGTAGCCCTCTGTCCCTAACCTCTGAATCAGCTTCAATTTGGAATGTTGCTGTGAATTCTGGTAGTAATCTTTAATTTATTGCTCATATTAGAGGCTATGATATTGGTGAACTTAAAGTGACTCATTACCACTTCTTCCCTTGAATGGTGAACATTATTCTTGACTACATTTCTGCCTAGTATCTATCTTTTAAAAAGCAGCTGTTCTTTTTATTTGTGCAATATCAAATATAAAAATCTAATTATGTGATTTTTCGTATTATTGTTACCAAGAATTCAATTTTAAAGCAAGCAGAAAACTACATAATACAAGCTTGATGTGTTTGTATTATACTCTAGACATTTTCTTAGTTTGTATCCAATTTGAACTCCTTTAAGCATTTTTATGATAAAAAGCCCATCATATTGTGTTCAGGAAAAATAGTTACAAAACCTGTAAATTAGTGTTCATCAGAAAAGACTTGCTGTTACAGTAGTCTGTGTCTCTGATATTGCTGTATCTCATAATGTTTTCTTTTTTGAGTTACATATTCTTGAAAGTATAGTAAAAAAAGAAACCTGTACTCATTTTTACAGTATACTTTTTGTGTATGTAACTTCTGCTTCACTTTAGTATAAAGATATAAAAAGCATCAAAACTAATAAAACATAGTTTGTTAATGCAATACTTAAAGATAGTGAGAGGATTACAGAAAACAGGCTGACATATACCTATTAGCTTGGGGTCTGTATTGTGGTATTCACTTTTAAGCATTTGTAAACCCTACTGGGGTATCTGCTTTCTTTTTGTCTTCCACCTCATCTCTTCTTTTGCCCACTTCTTATATGTATGATAAGAATTTTATTAATTTACAGTCATTAATAATAGTGTATCATACACAATTATTATAAGAATAAATTAAAGTGGCCTATGGGAAACTATTCTGATCCTGTATATGTTTATATTTTTAACATCAGATCTGGGTTTAAACTCAGTATCCCATACAGTGTTCCATTTCTTTGTGATTCTTGACAATTTCTTTTGCCTGTATTGCATCCTCTTTATGATGTGGATGATTTTTTCCCTACCTCAAAAGGTTGTCTTAAAATTAAATTGTCAATATCATATGTAAAGCACCTGATACATTTCTCGGCATCTAATACTTAGTAAATGTTATTTCTCATTAATTTCCTTGTTGCTTTTCACCATTTTCTCATTCTCTGTCATCATAGAGAAAGGATCTTTAGAAGACGGATATGGGTTAGGATGAAACCAGTTTTCATCTCCATTCTTTGTCCAGCTCCAAAGGAAGGGCAAGGGGATCAGTAAGGTAGGATTGTAAAGTCTTTGTCCATGTTGGTGAGGATGTTTCCTTGTGGGTAAAAGATTAGGGAGACTTTACAAGTTGCCTGTTACCTAATTATCTAATACTGTCATGCTTCTGTGTAAGAACCTGTGGTGGCTGATTCACTGCCTTCTGGATCAAGCCAAACTTCTGAGCCCATCAAGCAAGGTTGGTTATAATCTGGCCTCTTCATTTCCAGATCCTAAGCCATACTTTAATTCTCCCATCCCAAGCCTAGGTGTAATGCTTTTTGCTCAAAGCTTTGGACATGTGATCCCTTTGCCTGGGATGATTTTCTCCTTTCTTTATGTGACAAATGTTTACATAACTAACAAGACTCAGTTAGAGAAAATCTTTTTTTTGTAAGTGTTCCCTTTCCTCAGAGCCAGTCACACTCCCTCCACTGTAGTACTGTCTTCATATATATATATGTGTGTGTGTATATATATATATATAATTATGTTTATTCTTAGACATTATATATTGTTATATAAGACTATATATTTTCTTTCTTTACTAGCACAATTTTCATTTTTCCACATTTTGAATTTGCTGCACGGCACAGACGGAATTGTAATTTTTGCCTTTTTACTCATCGAGCACCTGTATGGTGCCCAGTGTGTTTATTTAAATTAATTTATCTTTGTGACAAAACATAAGTACCCTATCATATTCTCTAACACAGCAGTCCAAATGAAAGCTATTCCCTAATCTCTGCTCCTCTTGTGAAGCAGACTTCCAAAAGTATTATATCCTCTTAATTATACTTTCTACTTAGCTTTGCTAGGCTCACAGAGATGCCTAGGCCAACATCAGATAGGACAGGGGACTGAAGATACAACTTCATCTCATTGTTTCATTGCTTTTTTTCTGCTTAAACAAAGTTGGTGTACTTGAAGAAGGAGACGAATTAATGTAGAGGAAGGGAAAATTTCTTTTACCGGAAATAATTTATTTTATCATATTCTACTTGATAGGGCAAGGTTTTGATTCTTTATAAGCTTATTAAGGAGGGTAGCACCCATGTTGTTATGTACAGGTCGAGTGGGAATGTACTCTGGATAGGAGTAAGGAGGATGATGAATCCAAAGGTCATTTAAAGGGACATCTGTTTTTAGAAAGGGCCCAGAGACCTGAAATAAGGAGGTAAATAGAACTTTGTAAGAGGCAAGAAGCTTGAGAGTATGAACATTGTTTAAGTGTTGTAGTAAGAAGTCAGAGGTAAACAGAAAGGATTGAGTGAGTGTCAATAACAGAATTGGAATTATACTTAATTCAGGTAAGTCATATTTAGGTCCCAGATAATCATCTAATCCTCCTTTTCATTTAAAAAGATTATAAAATGTTCTGCTCTGAATCACATAATCAACTCAAATAACACCATTTAGAAATGTTATTTTTTCAGGACTATGCCTCTTGGGATATTTAGTGATATAAAATTACAGTGCACACTAGGGTTGGCATGGCAGAAATAGAAAAATAGGTTAAATCAATTGGTTGTGATTTCCCCAAAGTAAACATTGGAATATGTGGTCTGGAACTTGGCCTATGGACAGATACAAGAAAATGTAATTATTTTATTGATTATAAATAACCAGAGACCATTTAATGTAGAACTCAGTTCAGTTCAGTTAAATTGATAAACACTGAGTAGCTACTCTTTGCTGGAAAGTACAAAAACAATTAAGATGTACTGTGATTTGGCTTTCATAGAGCTTATGGTATAATTGGGGAGTGAGAAAAATCAATTACTAAAAAGTAAGGAATGAGATAGGAAGATAAAACTTTTTAAGTTTATGAAACTATGTTTTTCTCTGAGCCTCTGTTTTTTATAATAGACTAGAGATGATAGTCTGATATTTTTAGATATCAGTAACATATATTTAGGATGAGATTTTCAAAAGTTTATTCCTATCCTATTTGCAGACTTTTCTTTATTTGTTCTATTGATATTGAACATATGAATATGAAAAGTGAGGCTGGTAAATATGAATATCACGTGTTTTCAGAATCAGCTCTTTGTTATAGCGGCTTTATGTTTTACATTTTTGGGAACCTACAACTATCTAATTTAAACAGGAACTAATAAGTACAAGTGTCAGCATGTAGAAATCAATATGATTTTGATATTTGACTGATTTCATTAGCTTTTAGATGTCTTGAATTCTTACAGGTAAAAGTACCTTTTTTTTTTGGTCAGTGCTAGGGTTATTCAACCTAGGAACACACACATGCTAACCTAGTGCTCTGGCCCCAAACTTGATTTCCAGACCCTTAAAATTTAAAGAGGTCATATAATCCACTCCTTTTCATTTAAAAAGACTATTAATTGATCTGCTCTGATTCTTATAATGCAATTCAAATAATGCCAACCTGATAATAAAAGTTGGTTTTCTGATTCATAGTCCAGTCTCTGCTGCTATCCAAATCCATGCATTGGTTAAAAAAAAAGAAAAATTTCTTTTTAAAAACATCTTGTTACAAGTAATAGCCTTTAAATTTTTCTAATAAAATGTACAGATGCACTTTATTATTTCACATTAATATGATAGAACTACTAAACTAACTCAGGCTTGCTTCCTAAGTTAGTTAACACTTCTCCAGGACTGCTATTTCTTGGAGATACAAAGATGGTCAGAATAGCAAGCTAGCACTTTTCCAGGGCAAAGGAGAACTTAGAGGAATGGAAGGGTAGGAGGAGGTAAGTGGGTTGAATGGAAGGAATGATCCAGATGAGTGATTCCCAAGAATTTTAGGGAATTTTCTCCCATCCTTGACATAGTGAGAAAAGAAGAATTATGCAGTAAGCTATCTTTACTTTATGTGATTATGTCTGTCTTTCTTTTTCTAAATAACATTATTGGCAAAAATCTGGTAAGCCAGTTCTCTTTGTGTTTCTCCCTTGATCCTGTTTTTGCTTTGCTTTTAACTCTGTGGGTCCTTCTAGTTCGACATGCTCATCTGGAACTAGCAGTGCTGTTCAGAAATAAGGAGCTCAAATGGCACCTATTAATAGAAGGGTGGATGAAATAGGGGCTAACTACCTGGCACGAGACTTGCTGAGACCAGAGTGTTTTAAAATGGTGGGAATATTGATTGTGAGCCTAGCGGGGCTGTGGGAAGACGAAGACTATTTGCTTCTCAATGTCTGTGAGGTTTTCATGTGAAAAATCATGAAAAGATTCTAGGAGTCTGCCCTGGATTCACTCAGTAATCTTATAGGATCACTGACTATTTCACTTTCAAAATGAAAATGAATTTTAAGTGAAGTATAGAAGTCTGAAATGAACTATACCATTGTAAGCTTCAAGGACAAAATGAAAATCATTTTTAAAATGAACTATAAGAGTCTAAAATGACCTATACCATTGTAAGCTTCAAAAACAGTCTTTTTACTTGGATACAGTCTTTGTTATAGTATTATTCAAGCAAATCTTTTCAGAGTAGAATTAGAGCTTCCAATGGTAGACAGCAATCTTGCTTTTCTCATGTTTCCAAAACTACTTGCATGTTTTATTGTACATACTCTGTAATTATAAGGTGATATAAAAAATGCTTACTTTTTTTGAAAGTTGTTTTATTGTGTTAATGGGATACTAGCAACATTACTAAGATTAAAAATAAAATCTGATTTATAGATGGTTTCACTTTATAGGAACATAAACGCATAATGCTAACAAAATGAAAAATTAACCAAACTTCATCCAGTATTTCCTCCTTCAATTAAAACTACAAATAATATCCAACATACAAGCGTTATATTAGGTGTGGAATCAAACACATAGACTAAGTCACACCCAAGACTTAGTTTAAAACTCTTTTTCTTTTTGTATCATGTAGGCTTCAGATGTTTTTCTCTTGGGTAAGAATGTAAAATAATTCTAACATCAATTTTATGTTTTGTTAGCTTTTCTGTTCTGATATAAAAAGTATGAAAAAATGGGAACATTTAGCATTTATTCTTATCTGAAGAAGTTTGGATGGAAAGATCCAAGTGATACACATTACTGTGTGGGGCTTGTTTATGTCTATATGTGGTAGGAAAATACAGATATTTAAAATAATTACAATAAATGCAATTATTTAAAAATACATTAATTTACCTCATTAATATTTAATTGACTTTCAGAGACTATTTGAAGAATACATTTCATGTTTGTATGTTTTTTCTAATCAAATAATATATTTATTATAGAACATTCAGAAAATCTAGACGCATATAAAGAAATGAAAAAATAAAACAATAACTATAACTTACTATACGCAGATGTCCTAATATCTAAACAGATTTTCTTATGGTCTCTAGTTTTTCGTACATTTCTAAGATTATATAGAAAATTATTATATAGAAAAGTATTAATCTAACATTTCAGAGATCATTTTAAATATTTTAAGCTTTTTATTTTTATTGGTACCGGGAAACTAAGGGCCTCGCACTTGCCAGACAGGTACTGCGCCGCTGAGCTAGATTCTTGGCTCATTTTTTCATTTTTCTGTTTTTTTTTTTTTTTTTTTTTTTTTTGGTTCCTGAATTAAACTCAGGACCTTGTGCTTGCCAGGAAGGCGCTGTGCTGCTGAGCAGTCTCCCTGGCCCTAAACTTTTTAAATGTGGTTTTTGATTACTGCATTTTACATCTGCTAGGTATGATAAACTTATTTCTCTGTTGTTGGGCTTTTATTTATTTTTTTTATTTTTTAGTTTTTTTGGTTTTTCTCCGGTACCGGGAACCGAACTCACGACCTTGCGCTTGCCAGGCAGGCGCTTTTGCCGCTGAGCTAAATCCCCAGCCCCTTGTTGTTGGGCTTTTAACTTGTTTGCACAATCATTACATCTTTTCATTAATGCAAGATAGTTTTCCTGATGCTTTCTTTTTCGACTAAGTAAGCTTATTGAAAATACTTTTCTTAACATTACATTTCCTTTTCTTTCTTCCATCCTCTCATTTACATACTAGCTAATTCTTAGAATCACCCCTCTCATTCTA